AGTGAAAGATCTTTCCATCGCAGCGCAGACTGATGGTCAGTCTGCCCACATTGGTTTCGGATTCACGAACCAAGAAACTGCCGGTGATGCCGCTGTTAAGAAGGTATTCAGCGTAGCTGCGATGGATGGCGCCATGATACCAACGCTCGGCGAGGAGGTCCGGACAACTGCAGGGGCTGCAGCCAGCCTTCTCCGGATGGGCCGACTCCAATGGTGCACTGCTGTCGGCCTGGTTGAGGTCGTGATGCTGTCCAGCAGTGGCGTCCGGGACAAATGCAGTAGTCGTCCCCGAAAACGCTGTTAATTTTAGGGGATCGTTGACACAGTGAGTCGGCAACAAGCCACGCTCGCCGGTGCGAATACATTCCACATCCACCATCTGCGAATCGGATCTGAGACCAAAGTATCGAAGACGGTCGTCTGTGGAGATGATGAAAGAAGGCACAAGAGAATGATGTGTCTGAAAAAGCTCGAGAAGCTTTTTGGGCTAAAACAAAGGTGGCCGTACATACTACAGTAGATTGTCTAACTCACGGAATTTGAAAGTCGAAATTTTAAGGGTGGTTTAACACACACTGGAAATTCTTTATTTTGTTCATTGAATTAACCTGAGACGCAAACTGCTGTTCACTAGAAAAGAATTCTGTTCATATCAGTATATTAAAGGAGAGGGTGGGCTAAATCCAACGTTTCTTGATATACAAGGAATTTTCTACGTTATTAAACACTGCGGATCAAAATGTTTTGTTTATGTGTGCTGTATTATGAAAGAAAAATTAACAAAAGCCAGAAAGGTTTTAACTATGTGTTTTCAGAGAACGGAAAATTTCGTTTTGCATCGATGAAAATCAGGTAAATGCGAGTATGAAAAATTCCATTGTCTTCGGGAAAAGAAGAGAGCATTCGCTTTTTAAAAAATGTGCTTTGCAAATCTTGTACCTTTTTGTATCATAAACTAAAGTTATAAACTTGCGCAGCTGTAGTTTGTTTTACCACACCGAAAATAAGGACCGTGAACAGGTATATATATTATTTGTTTGTGCACCGATCTAGTCCTCGGGTGCGGCGGCAATTTCAGCTGCTACACTAGAGTTGGCTACCCGTGG